TGACTCCTACATCTATCAGTTTCCAAAGCCTTCCAAATCTATCTCTGCAACATTTCTTATATTTATTCCCTTCACTAAGTTTTATGGTTATCACTCTACTTTAGTCTGGCATAGAGCTTCCTAACTGGTCTGACACCTGCTCCTCCCTTTTCCAATACATCCTTCATACAGCTGACAAAAACAGTCTTCTGCCACAACCCTGACCATGTCACACTCCTGGCTGGATTTAAAAGAGTGGTCGTTAATGTTTCAGTGTTGGTGTGAGAAGTCTCCAGTGGGGTTCCCTAGGAATTTAGAGTTGGTCCCATGTTGTTTAATAATTTCATCAATTTGAATTGAATTGCATATAACTGTGTTATAAGAAACAATAAATTTGAAGATGGAAAAATGTATAAACTGGTACACAATGAAACAAACCAGACCAGGAAAACAATACATACAATGTCTGGAACAACACTAGCAATGACAACAAACATTGAATGCTTTAAATGATCATAACCAAGTTTGCTCCTAAAAAAGATAAAAAAAATGTTCCTTTCTATCTTCTTTGCAAAGATGGAAGACTATGGGTATGTAATGTTGCATGTGCTATTAGACTCAATGTGTTGGTTAGTTCGGCTGAGCTGTTTTTTCTTCTTTTTTGTTACAAGGAATGAATTACTAAGTAGGGGTAGAGAGCAGGCTGTATTAACAAATGAAGGTAATGTGAAAAAGCAAGAAATATCAATAAAAATTTAAAATAAAAAACCAAATTTTATCAATGACTTGGACGCATTATAGATGGCTTTCTCCTCAGATTTGAAGATGATGTAAGTCCAGGTAGGATAAATAACACAATGTTAAGAGCATTGAGTTGAATCTATTAATATGGAATTTAATAGGGATAAATGTAAAATCTTACACTTGGGCACAAAAACCAATTTCTCAAGTACAAAATGGAAGAAAACAGTGGTCATTTTGAAGAAAGGTCTTGGGATTTTAGTGGACAGCTAGCTCACTGAGTCATAGTGATTCAATGTGATGGCAGCCAAAAAGGCCAATGCAATCTTGGGCTGCCTTAGGAGAAATATGACTTCCAGGAATAAAGAAGTGATAGTTCTTGTCTAATTCTGCTCTCGTCAGACCTCACATGTGTTAATTTTGGGGTTCTATGGCTTAAGGAAGATATTGATGAGCTGGAGAATGTCAAGGTTTTATCAAATCTTACAAAAGAACATAAATGACAACTTCCTTTCCTTTTCAAGTGGGCCTTTACATTACCCAAGTACTATAGTACTTATAATATTATTTTGTGATCCTCCTGCAGGAGGAAAGAACTTGGGGTTGCCTAAGAAGCAAAGAACCCTCCTTTATGGTAAGCCCTACCTTTTTCTTTTTTTTGGAGGCAATTGGGATTAAGTAACTTGCTCAGGGACACACAGCTAGTAAGCATCTGAGGATTTGAACTCAAGACCTCTTGACTCCAGGGCTGGTGTTCTGTCCACTATGCCACCTATTTCCCCCAAACCCTACCTTTTTCAAGAAGCCATACAATCCTTTAGACTTACAATGCATTGTACTAGGTAGAGAGGTCCCCGGTGTGGAGGATGAAGCTGGGGTGACTAAAGAGTCAATTCCCCTCTCCTGGAGCTATACATTCCACATGTATCACAATATTACTGAAGGGCAAGATCCAGGTTTGCTCCTTCGTCATGGCTCTATGACAAGCTGCTCCTTAGGTTCCAACTCCTGGCTTGATCTATGTCCTTGGCTTGATTTGGGAGCTTCTCCATTACTCTGTCTCCACCTGGCATAATTTCTTCCTCTCCAGGGAACTGAGTCCTTATCTCCGTAAGTAGTCTTTCTCTCTACGTTAGAGGTGTTGTGTAGTTAAAGTGTATGGACTTCATCAACAATGTGGTGTCCAGAGGCAGCACATATCCACAATAAGGTGATGTCATACCTTGTCACAGCTGTTAGGGAATATCATTCCTTGTTCAGGAGAGAGAGAGAAAAGAGGACATTCCTTCCAAGAGGATATATGGGCACACCTGCTACAAAAGTTTTATTAAAGAGACAGTTGATAAGCATTTAGAAAGGGGAAATAGCGATTGCTGAACACTAACATGACTTCTTCAAGAACAAGATATGCAAAACTAATCTTATTTCCCTTTTTTTTTTTGACAGATTCATTAGACTGGCAGTTCAGAGAGACTCTATAGACAGAGTATATAGATTTTAGAAAGTCATCTGACAAAGCTTCATATCCTTGTGGAAAAGATGGAGAGATGTAGCTTGAATTCTAGTATAATTACATAAATTTGAACTGGCTGAATGACTGAACCCAAAGAGTGATTAATGGATCTATGTCAACCTGTACAGAGGTCTCCAGTGGAGTGCCGAATAATCTTGATTTTGATCCTGTCCAAAGAATCTATGACTTGAGTAAAATCTTAAATAGCGTCCTTTTAAAATTTGTCGGTGACATAAAGACAGAAGGGAAATCTAACAGTTTAGATGATGTAATTAGCGTATAAAAAGAGCTTAACAGTTTAGAAGAATGGACTGTCTCTAAGTAAGGGAAATTTTAAAGAAATCAATGTAAAGTTTTATACCAGGGTTCAAATGTAGGATAGAACACATGTGCCTTGAAAGTTTATGTGATAAAAGTTATAGAGGTTTTAATCAACTACAAAGTCAGTATGAGTCAACAATTTAATATGGCAGCTGAAAAAAGCTAATGCAGTCTTAGGCCAGATTAGTAGAGGTAGAGTATTCAGAACAAGGGAGCTGAAAGTATGGTTGCATTCTGCCTTAGCCAGAACACATCTGGAATATAGTGCCTGGTTATAGGTGCCACATCTTACAAAGATTATTGATAAATTAGGGCTTACCCAGACAAGAATGACCAGGATGGTGAGAGGACAGGAGACTATGTCTTAGGAGGATCACTGAAAGGAACTGAAGATAATTAGCTTAGAGGGAAAAAAAGTTAAGGAGGACCCAAATTAGTTGTGTTCAAATTATTTGAATGACTGTCATGGAGAAGAGAGATTACGTTTACCCTACTCAGTCCCAGAAGGTAGAATTTAGAATAGGGATAAAAGTTGTAGAGAGGCATATTTAGACTTGATGTAGGGAAAAACTTCCTATCAATTAGACTTCCAAAAGTAGAACTGATCATCTATGGCAGTTCTGGGTTCCTGGTCACTGTAGAGCTTCAAGTGGATGCTGGCTGTCACTTGTTGGGGATTAAAGGAGATTCCTGTTTAAGGTACAGATTGCTCCCAATTCTGAGATTCTGTCGTTTTGTACAAAATGGTGGAACACCATGAAAAATGTTCATTCTAAGCTAAGATATAGTTATGGAAGCTACAGGAGTTCCACGTGGCTATAGAACATGGTCCTGGAAATATTCACATTTGACAGTTTCTCTTGGTGCCACTTAAGACTTTTCATCCACAGACCTTCAGGGCAGATGTTAAAGAACTAACATTTTCTATTTTAAGTTGGGAGGGAGAACTTGTGAGGTTACTGTCTCAAGTAATATTAATTTGTGAAGCAAAAGGACATTTAAGGGATTTTGAGGGGAAAGGATTTCTTACTATAATACAAATGATTCTTATTTCAATTCTTTCCTCATCAAATAATGTAATATCAGAGTTGATGGACAAAATGGTAGAAGATGCAGAGAACCCCTTCTTCCAGCAGAGGGAAGGGAGATGAACACCTGACCCTGATTTTTTTTTTTAGGCAATTGGGGTTAAGTGACTTGCCCAGGGTCACACAGCTAGTAAGTGTCAAGTGTTTAGTCTGAGGCTGGATTTGAACTCAGGTCCTCCTGAATTCAGGGCCAGTGCTCTATCCACTGTGCCACCTAGCTGCCCCTAGACCCTGATTTTTCAAAATGGCATTTGATAGCTGAGTTAGAAAATGAGGATAAATAAGTGTTGAGATAGAGAATCAAGAAAGAAAATTACATTCATGGGTTAGCCTATAATATGGAGGTAAGAACAGCTTTTCTATGACATGTTGATAACTCTGTAGCTTCCCCTTTGTTCCTCTAGATTATTTACTGGAAACTGATAACTTTGCAAGGTCTGTGAATGTACTTCATGAACAGGACAGCAGGGAATAAATTGGCAATGAGTTTGATCCACAATGGGCCAGAGAAGAGAGGAATGCTCACATTTCTTTAATGTTTTAATTTACAAAAACACTGCTTTCCTGTCAACAAGCTAGTGGTGATTACAAAAGATACTGAGAGATACACTGGTCTCTGAAGTACAAGAGAAAAAGAGAAATAATAAGCTAATCTGGGACCAGAAAACTCTGAGGGGTGTTAAAGTTCCTGTTATTAGGGCTCTGATCCACTTTCATAGTGTTATGACAAGAAGGTGGCAGGGTGAATCAGACCCAGCCCCTTGGATGTTCAGATTCCCACCTTTCTTCCTGAGACAGCAGCCCTATATGAGGATACTGACAGTGAGTATGTCTTTTCAGAAATAAATGAAAAGGAATATGGGGCTGAGCATCAGATCTGAACCACTTAACTTTAGAAGGCAACAGATACACTCAAAACAGCTATTACTATTGAACTCTCCTGGATCCAGTGAAGAGTTCTGTGTTTCACTAATCTTTTGATCCCACCTTCCTGGGTACTATCTTGGGCTAAATACTATGATTCTTCCCCCTTTGCCCTGATACTTGACTTCCAAGTCAAGTCCAACTTGTGTAAACACGTCCTTACCTTGTTCATAGTGTTAAACTGCTTGTAACCTGGACTGGTGACTGAAATTTGGTCCTACAAACAGCTAGTCCACACCCAACAATGGGATTACACTGGCTGACAGTCTGTTGCCCAGGGTATAATATACCCTTGGGCAGTTCTAGGCCCTAGGAGCTTTTACCACCTCCTGAGAGGTTAAAGGAAAAAGTTAGGGAGCTAAGGCCTGCGATTCCGGATCTAGTGAAACCTATGGGGAGGGGTCAGAAATCAAGAATTGAAACTGTGGTCAGACCTGAATAATTTTTTCAGGGATGTTGGAGACAGTGAATCCGTAGAGGCGTACTCTCTCAGGAAAGATACTGGACAGTATTCGACGGTCAAGTTGGAAGGCAATCTCCCCAACCAGACGCTCCCATGTCAGCTGCTTAGCGTCTGAGGAAAAGGAAGAGGACTGTGTCAGAAGAAGAAGACAGGCAGAGGACAGAGTGTTCACAGAAGAGGAAAGAAGTAGACAAAACAAGGCATGCTGTTGGTGGGGGAGGATAAGGGAATAATGGTAGGGGGTCAGTGATTAACAGAGGGAGAGATGGAGGTTAGAAGTTTTATAAATTGAAAAAAGTACAAAAAGTGGGGTCTGAAGATACTGGGGGAAAAAGAATGGTTCATGGCAAAATATGTATATATATATATATATATATATATATATATACATATACATATACGTATATGTGTGTGTGTATATATATATATATATACATATACATATACGTATATGTGTGTGTGTATATATATATATGTATATATATATATATATATATATATATATATATATATATATATATATATGTATATATGAGAGAGAGAGAGGTTTACTGAGAGCCTATATCACATACACCATGGACATGACCAGTAGGGGTAGAATACTGACCTCTCTGAATTTCGCTGACTTTACTGGTCTTCCGATGGGTCGTCTTCCTCTCAGTTTCCAGGAGGCTCTTGTTTTTATGTTCTAAGGAATGGGACCTTCGGGCGTGATTGGCAGGGGGAGAGGAGATGATAGAATGTGGGGGTGGAGAATGAGAGGGATGTGGAGGAGAAAGGGAAGAAGCACGTGCAGTGAGGGCAGTATGTGCCAGGGAATTCTGTAGTTTATTGGCAATGTCTTTGCAAAAAGTTGCATTAAGATTTGGGGTGGAAGATGTGGGAGCACCTTGGTGAAGAGGGGCAGCATCTGCTGTAGGTTGGGTACTAGAGGTAGCAACAGTAATTGGAAGGGCAGATGTGGGAATAATACCAGCTATGGGGACACTGGCCAAAACTGAAGGCATGGTGGGAATAGAGGTGTTGTGTTGTGCCAAGGATTCTGGGGATCCAAAGAAGGTTGTGATGGGGGTCCCAACGGTTATGGTACCAATGGGGATGGAAGTCTGGATTGGCTGGCCCACAAATGCCATGTTGGAAGGCTCCACATCTGCAGATGGTTTCCAGTCCATTACTGTTTTTTTATTATCAGTGGGAATTGGGACTGTTAAGCATAGAGAAGGCAGAGTAAGGCAGAATATTAAAGTAAGGTGGGATTTAGAGAAGTGTCAGAATAGTGATAATGATTAAGGCAAGGAATAAGGTCAGAATAGGTGATGGGATCAGAAAACAGGGTATATTATGTCAGTACCAAAACATTCCATCCCCATGACTTCTTGTCTCTCAGCTCCTGTCCCCCCTCCCCCAACAATCTCAATCATTCTTCCCTGGCACTCCCCCACCCCCCACACCTGTTACCTTTGGAAGCAGGAATGTTGGCTGAGGGCGGAGGACTAGAGGAGCTGTGATGTGTTGCATCCAAAGGCTGACTGGGGTCAATTAGTAGCATGTTGTTGACCATAGGGTTGGGCAACACATTGCCTGCAGGGCTACTTACAGAGCCTATTAATGTGCCAGATAGGGAAGTGGTTGGAGGAACAGCAGTGGGAGCACCCAGAGAGCCTGGCGGTGAGCTTGACAGCATGCTGATTGGAGGGACGGCCACGGGACTCGAGAACATGCTGAGAGGAGGGACAGCCATGGGAGCACTCAGAGAGCCTGGCAGTGAGCTTGTCAATGTGCTAATTGGAGGGACGGCCACTGAACCTGTTTGTGGACTGCCTACAGAGGCTGCTGGGGGACTGGGGTCCATAAGAGGGCTTTTTGTGGGGTTTGTCATAGGACTGACTATTTGTGCGCTGTTACTAGAGCTAGACAGAGGCCCTGTCGATACGCTGTCATTATTAGGGTCAGCCAAAGGGACAGTTCCAGAGGCTATCGCTGGACTGCTTAAAGGTGCAGGTGTGGAGTAAGGCAAAGCATTCGCCTGTATGCTGTTTGGAGATACAATCATGGAATCAGTCAGTTGATTATTCAGGTTGCCAGTTACGAAGCTGAACAGTGGACTGTTTGGAAGAACAGCCATAGAGCCAGATATTGTATCATTTAGGGGACGAGTCAAAGGACCGGCCAGAGAGCTGCATACAGGGCCGGTTGAAATGCTGTTTGAAGGGCTGGACTGTGAGTTATTCAGAATTTCAGCCAATGAGGTTAGGATTCCTATGTCGTCAGTTCCAGGGTTTTGTGCTGGGGCTGAGGATGGAATGACACCTGAGTAGAAACAAAAAGAAGCTACTGAGAACTCAGATCTCTGGGTAGGGGCTGGAATTGGTGATGAAATTTCAGGGGTCACCTCCTATTTAACCTAGCTAGAGTGGCTTCTTCCTACCGTCTATGGAGAGATTAGCCAAACTTCAGTCTCAGCCCTTGATTATCTAAACTATACTCTCTTTGGAAAAGCAGGGTTTATTTGTTGTGAGTCATGGGTATATGGGCATCTAGGTGGCACAGTGGATAGAATGCCAGGTTTTGAGTCAGGAAGACTCATCTTCCTGAATTCAAAACCAGCCTCAGACACTTACTAGCTGTGTGACCCTGGGCAAGTCACTTAACCCTATTTGCTTCAGCTTCCTCAACTGAAAATGAGCTGGAGAAGGAAATGGCAAACCACTGCAGAATCTTTGCCAAGAAAACCTCAGAAAAGATCAAGAAGAATCAGAACAACAACAACTAAAGGCATTGACTATGTAACCCATGGCTAGTGGTCCTCTAAAGACTCTGAGTTCACATAGACCAGCTTGGACATCCAGGGTCAATCTGAAAAAGGATAATTTTTTTTTGCTCTAAATCACTATTAATTAGAGAAATGCAAATCAAAACAACTTCGAAGTACCATATCACACCTATCAGACTGGCTGTGACAAAACAAGAAAATGATAAATGTTGGAGAAGATGTGGGAAAATTGGAACACTAATGCATTGTTGGTAGAATTGTGAAATGATCCAACCAATTTGGAGAGCAATTTGGAACTATGCCCAAAGGGCTATAAAATTGTGCATACCCTTTGACTCAGCAATAGCACCTCTAGGCCTGTATCCCAAAGAGATCATCAAAATGGGAAAAGGACCCACACGTACAAAAATATAAATAGCAGCTCTTTTTATGGTAGCAAAGAACTGGAAATTGAGTAGATGCCCATCAATTGGGGAATGGCTGAAGAAGTTGTGGTGTATGAATGTAATGGAATACTATTGTGCTATAAGAAATGATGAGCAGGCAGACTTCAGAAAAACCTGGAAAGACTTATATGGTCTGATGCTGAGTAAAGTGAGCAGAACCAGAAAAACTTTGTATACGTGTGTGATGATTAACTTGGCTCTTCTCAGCAATGCAAGGATTCAGAGGACTCATGATGGAAAATTGTGTCCATATCCAGAAAAAGAACTATGGAGTCTGAATGCAGATTGAAACATTCTATTTGTTCTCTCTTTCTTTTTTTTTTCTTTTTTGTTTGTTTCTTCTTTCTTGTGGTTTCCCCCATTGGTTCTAATTCTTCTTTACAACATGACTAATGTGAATCAATATGAATCTATATGTACAGCCTATATCAAATTGCATGCTATCATGGGGTGGGGGGAAAGGAGAGATGGGGAGAAAATTTGGAACTCAAAATCTTATCGAAGGGAATGTTGAAAACTAAAAATAAATTAATTTTTTAAAAAAAGGATCATTTTTTCTTTTTTTGGCTTATTCCCTGCCTTTCCTCCAACTTGGAAATGCTCCAGGAAAATCTACTAACATTTATAACACTCTTCCCTTATGTGAAATCTATTATACTTATGTTATAGCTTGTGTCTGGATTTCCACACATGTGGGTAAAGGAGTCCCAAGCTTCCATAGCTACTAAATGTATATTGGGTACAGGAAAGCCTTTGTTTTACCACACAGAAAATGGAGCAGATGCAAAAGACTCACAGAAACCTAGTAAGTTACAAACAAATAAAAAACAAACCTCTATATAAAGTATTCAAGAGAAATTATGGGCTAGAATAAAATTTTAGAAAGGTTGCCAAGAAAATCCCCAATGGGGTTATGAAGAGTCAAATATGACTGAAAGGACTGAACAACAACAAAAACTAAAACTTTAGGGATGCAGAAAAAGCAAACCTTAGAGGAAAATTTATTATACATGTACAAAAATATTCATAGCAGCTCTTTTTGTGGTGACAAAAAATTGGAAATTGAGGGGATGCCCATGGGTTGAGGAATGGCTGAAAAAGCTGTGGTATATGAATGTAATGGAATACTATTTTGTCATAAGAAATGTTGAACAGGTGGATTTCAGAAAAACCTGGAAAGACTTACATGAACTGATGTAAAGTGAAATGAGCAGAACCAGACTGGAGTCAGGAAGACTCATTTTTCCTGAGTTCAAATCTGGCCTCAGATACTTACTAGCTGTGTGACCATGGGCAAGTCATTTAACTTCTCTCATCCTCAGTTTCCCCATCTGTAAAACGGAGATAATAATAGCAACTATACTCTACAGGGTTGTTGTGAGGATCAGTGAGACAGCATATGCAAAGTGCTATAAATGCTAGAACTTTATTATTATATTAGACCTTTATCAGAGAAATTTAAAGATTTTCCTAATTGTTTCTCCTTATTTTTAAAGTTTAACTACAGTAAAAAGTTAAGGTTTCAACTGCATTTTACTGTGCATGTGCAGAAACTTTTCACTTTTGTTTAATAAAATTATACATTTTATCTTTTATGATCATCTTTATCCCTAGTTTTAGGTAAGAATTTTCTTTCCTTTCCATGGTTGAAAAATTTACCTCCTTCTTTCCCATTTTTAAAAAATAAAGTGACTTTTTATATTAGGACATGTATCCATTTGGAGCTAATTGTGGTAGATAGTATAAAACTGCTTTCCTATTTTCTGAGTTTTTGTCAAATAGAAAGTTTTAACCCTGGGGTTAGTTTCTTTGGGTTTATTGGATACTAATTGGGCAGCTAGGTGCCCAACCCAGAGTCAGAAAGATTCATTTTTTTGAGTTCAAATCTGGCCTCAGACACTTACTGTGTGATCTTGGGCAAATCAAACATGACTGAAAAATGACAGAGAATGATTTACTAAATTTGGTTGTTTCTGGATCATATTTGCCTAATCTGTTTCATTGATAATTTTTTTCCACTTTTAAACAATATTAAATAGTTTTGATGATTACCAATTTATAGTGATGAGGTAGAAAGGAATGCTTGAGGCAGATGAAGCAAGCAGGATTTGAGATGGGAGATAAGATGCAGGATGTGACCAGCCAGAAAAGTGATCAAAGAAGACTATGGAGGCAGCTAGGTGGTGTAGTGGGTAGAGTACTGGACCTGGAGTCGGTAAGACCTGAGTTCAAATCCAGCCTCAGACACATAATACTCACTAGCTGTGTGACCCTGGGCAAGTCGCCTAACCTCATTGCCTAGCCAAAAAAAAAAAAAGACTATGCATTAAAGCCCCCACTGTGGACTTCCCTGTGTGCTTTCCCAAAGCACCCTCAATTCTAGAACAACTCTCTCCCTCTCCTTTCCTGTTCTCTTTGCTTATCACCTCCGGACTACCTGATATCCCATGCATTTTGAAGCCACGCTTGCTCCTCTCATTCTCTTGTTCTCTTGCCTCTGTTCCACAAAATTGTATTTTCCTTTGACCTAGCTAATGGCCTTTGCCTCCTATGGGAAGCAGAAGCCACTCTGCTCCTTGAGGGGAGCAGGGCCTGTGACCTATACTTTTGCCTCCCACATGGAGTAGAGCCTATTGGGGCCCTGCCTCGCAGGGAGCAGGCTTGCTTGGGTACATCACCCCAATAAATGCCTTTCTTTAACTTGGAGACTGTCCAAGTGAATTCTTTCAGGATACTAGGACTCACGCGTCTATTTCTCATCATTTCAGGTAGCACCCCAGCGTTCTTGGGGTTCACCCTCAACTCATCACCAATGGCTACAGAGAAGGTCTAAGTGAATTCTTTCACACCTGAACTGCTCTCCCAACTCTGACCTCAACAATAGTATAATTTATGATCTTATACTTTGGACTTCTCCATCCAGTTTGAGTACCTTCCCTTTCCCCTTCTTCACTTTCAGCTTCCTTTTCTGTGTGGTCTTTCCCTACTAGATTATGAGCTCCTTGAGGACAGAGACTGTTTTTCCTTTTCATATTTGTATCCTTAGTAGGCAGGTGGCACAGTGGATAGAGTGCTGGGCCTGGAATTAGGAAGACATCTTCCCCACTTCTAATCTGATTGCAGACACTTAATAGCTGTGTGACCCTAGGCAAGTCACTTAAACCCTGTTTGCCTCAATTTCTTCAGCTGAAAATGAGCTGGAGAAGTAAATGGGAAACCACTCCAGAATCTTTGCCAAGAAAACCACAGACGAGGTCACAAAGAGTCTGTACAGACTGAAGAACAGCATCTTCAGCACTTAGCACAGGGTGTAGCACAAAGCTTAATAAATGCTCTATTGCATTAAGTAGGCACTTACTTAATGTTTATCAACTTACTGACCACTAGAACCCTTTTATTCCTAATTTTTATCTTTGTTTCCTTTGTGATTTTTGACCTTTCATTTTCCAGATTTATTTCGCCTCACTACAGTTACATTCTCTAAATCGCAGCCAAACTGGCCTATTTTTTTGTTCCTTGAACCCAGGATTACGTCTCCCACATCTGTGCCTTTGAACAAGCTGTCTCTCCCCCTCCTCCCCATACCTGGAATATATATTCCCTCAACACTCTGTGAGAAAGGATTAGATGTTAGGCTTCCACAGCAGAACAAGGGAATTCTGGGAAGGACTTCCAAGTGGATAGTCCCTCAACCAATCAGAAAGTGCTCCAAACATTCTGCAAACAATTAGTTCCTTAAGAAAGAGCCCTGGAGGCTAAACTGGTTGCCCTCGGTTGCAAAGGCTTTTCTCCACTGCACTTGCTTAATAAGCTTATTGACTATTAACTGACACACTCCAAGGGCAGAGACAGCTGCCATTTTTGAACATGGGATGCATGAACTAACATGACAGGAGGAACATGGAGGAACATGGGACGGGCGGTTCAGAAAGAGTGTAACTCAGATGAGCTGGTCCAATCCTGGGCTCAGATGGGAGGAGTATGGATCTTACTAACCATTTAAAAGTTGATTCTACCGCTGTACTAGCTTGCACGTGCTACTAGGGTGCGGTGTGCCTGCTTCTCGCAAGAAGGGTAATAAAAGCTTTCCT